GTGTGTTTCTTCCCTATTGTATTATACCTCTGATGGTTTTCCTGGGGGCGGGCGGGGATGCAGTTTGGGGCATGCCCACAGCCACCCTGGGATGACAGTGGTACAGGTAGGGCTCTCGCCCACTTTTTCCCTGATCACACCCAGCAATGAAACTCCACTACTTGGTCCCATTGCTTTATTATTTTCACCAATGCCCTGGTGTATAAATTCTTCTACAAACTAGTCCAGTGGAATTTTGGCTTCTTCCAGGATTAGTTCTGAGGTTAGTGTTTGGTATTTGTGACAACCCCAGGAAAGGCTTCTCTCAGCTTTCTTATTCCCCAGTTCTCTCCTGCAAACTATAATAACTGGCCTCTAGGCTGTATCTTCATTAGATCCAGGAGTCTCCTGCCAATTGCTTTTCACCACGGCTTTCACCGTTCTTGAGAGTGCCTTTAGGTTTAAAACTAAACTGTGTACTTTTTTTCCTTTCTTTTTTTTTGAACAACTCAAGACATGTAATGTCATGCACTTTTGCAAATTAAGTCGGTTTTAAAATCTTCATAGGCTTTCTTGATTAGGTTGCTGTTTGCCCTTAGGTCCATTTTCAAGGGCTTGAAATGTTTTTGTTTTTACAATAATTTTCACCAATTTCATTGGGGAGCAGATAAGTGAAGCTTCTCACATTGTCATGTTGGAATCAGATCTCTCTGAAATGATTTTATGTCTTGGAGAGCGAGGATCAATTTCACACATCTTGCATATTTTGTATCCTCCATAGTACTTGCTGTAGTTCTCAGCACAAATTGCTTTGAATCTAGTGAAATTACAATTAATCAGACTAACGTACTGGCTAAGATACTAGCTTGGAGGTCATGGATTTAAATCCTAGTTTCTGAACCTGGCAGTGCTGGGTTAACCTGGGTTAATGCTAACCCCTCTAAGCATTTGTGTTCTCCATTGTAATTGGGATACTCCAGACCTCACAAGGTTGTTGTGAGGATAGAATGGAATACTCCACAAGTAAAAGTCCTTAGAACAGTGCTTGTCTCATTTTAAGTGTTCCATAAATGTTAGAGATAATTATTAGTCCTTGTTCACTAACATTGTATACAAATGAAGATCTAACACACATATTACTTGAAAAAAAAACTGATCACCCACAAGTGTTCAAATGTCCTATTTGGCAACTACATCAAAACTTACAGATTGAATTTTTAAGCCAAAATACTGTCATTTGAAGTTTTCATTAGGCTTTAAGCCAAAATACTGTCATTTGAAGTTTTCATTAGGCTTTAAGCCAAAATACTGTCATTTGAAGTTTTCATTAGGCTTTTGGCTGTTTCTCCCCAAAATATCATCCACATTTTATGTTTTTGTAGTTCCAGGCTGCTTTAAGGGAAATCTAAAACTGAGTTGTATAGTTTGGTGTCTGACTTCCATCAGTGGGATACTCTTATTACCCTGGAAGCTCAGACATGATTCATGATTTTTCTAATGTTGCTGTTAAATCTTGTGCAGGTTTAAACAAAAATGTGTCTACCTAGTAGTGGTTCCTGCTGACAGCAGTGGTTGATTGGAACAGTGGGTTGGCATGAAATTCGTTTTAGAGATTTACTTCAAAACCCATGTAATGTATTTTTACACAGACATCACTGTTTATATATTTGTAATATCTTCTTTAAATACCTTCTTTATCTTAATTAGCATTTTCATGCACAAATAGAATAATATCCCAAATGTCTATTTGGGATACGTGTATCTCCTGCTCTTACCATGAAGTAGATAGAGAAGGAGTGGGCTTCCTGCTAGGCAGAGCTACCTTGACTGCCAGCCTTCTGGTAGGGGTGCTTCCTGGTCCCTTGGGGAATTTCTAGTCAGCTAGGGCACTGCACTGCCCTTCTAACCCAAGCTCTTATGTTCTCTGGGGAGTCTGTCTCAAGTTGCCTGGCTCACATGGCACCTGATGGGTGAGGGAAGAGGAGAGGGCAAAGGTTGATCCACCTGACAGTTTCTGTGAGTGATGCTGATGGATCATTCAGAAGCTGTCCCTTGATCTCTCTGAAGAGGTCAGGAGCCCTCTTGTGTTCACTCACCTTTGGCAGCGTATCTCCTCTCACGTGTTGCAGGTGCTGCACTCCATCTTCAGTGAGAGATATTGGTTCCATGTATTTCAGGCATCCTTCATGATTTCTCAGCCACAGAAGGTTCTGCTTCTGCTTTTCTATCATAGCAGTGCAATTGATTTGTTTGTGTATTTGTTTAGTCTTTTATATGGTCTTGGGGTAGAAAGGGAAGATGCAGTGAGTGCTCAATCTGTCATCTGGGGAATCCAAATGATAATGAAGAGTTATTATTTGAAATAAATTGGTTTTAGAGTTCAAAGTGGTTCTCCTTTTAGCTGGCCTTTGATTAAGGATCTCTCTTTCACCCAACAGGAGACAACGTTGGTATTGTATTTGACAAGGCTATTGAGGAGTGAGTTCCTTTGTTGAGCATCAAAATCTTTTCTTGAAGAAAGGAATTCTAAATTTATGTAGAAAATGTGTTGAACACATCTACAGTACTCTTGAGGGGAAAATATATTCAATTTTTTTTTTTATTGGAAATGCCTGGAGCTCTTTTTCTCAAAATTAGGACCCACCTATGCTACCTTCCCTGTACTATATTTTTTTCTAGATAGTTGAAGTAAAAATGCTACATTCAATATGAAGAGCTGCAATATGCCTACTTCTGTGCTAAGCACTAGGGCACATGGCTGCTTTCACTCTACAAAGACACATATGAGTTGTTGCAGCTGTGATCATATGGCCAACAAACCTAAAATATTTACTGTCGGTCTTCTTATGGGGCACAAAGAATGAGTCTTGATTTTCCTGAATGTAATGGCTGCATGGTACAGGATGGTGTGGACTTTGGGGTGTGGAGGTTAGATGGAGAGGCAGAGAACCTCTTGCCTTCATAGAGTTTGTTTTTGTTTGGGGGTTATCAAGGTATCTTCTTCCATAGACCCTCCCCCCACCAAGAATTGACTTCCTGCTTTCCTTACCACTTACCTCAGCACACACTGCTTCTAGTCAAGCCTCTCTTTGTTGATTCCCAGCATGTATGTACATAACACTGTCTAATAATTTCTTCCCTGTTTCATCTTAAGTCCCTTTTGGTATCCTTTCTCCCCAATTATAAATACAAATTGAAGCCCAGTCTTATTCCGTTCCCTCCCTCTTTCAAAGATAACCACTATCCTGAAACTTTTGTTTCTCATTCCCTTGCTTTTCACTATGCTATCATTGTGTATGTATCAATCCCTGAACAGTAGCTAATGTTGTTTTATCTATTTCATAACTTTCTACAAGTGGTATGCCATATATGTTCTTCTGCAGCTTGCATTTTTGGCTCAGGAGTGTATTTGTGACCATCCAGCTCTAGTTCTTTGAGTCTCACTCGTGCCTGGCATTCCAGTAAATGGACATACCATAGTTTATTAATACATTCTCTTCTTGATCGGCTTTTTACCCCCCAATTAAGTTGATCTTTGATTTTTATTTATTTTTTAACAGCTTTGTTGAAATACAGTTTATATATCTTGAAATTCACCTGCTTCAACTGTATAATTCAGTAGTTTTTACTGTTTTCACAGAGTTGTGCAGCCATCACCATCAACCATCAAATGTTCTAATTTTAGAACATTTGATCACTCCCAAAAGCAATTGGCATCTCTCTCATCCTTTCCCTACCCTCAGCTTGAAGCAACCATTTATCTATTTTCTGTCTCTATAATTTTGTCTGTTCTATTTTATATAAATGGGATTGTACAGTGTGTGGTCTTTTGCAGCTGGCTTCTTTTACTTAGCATACTGTTTTTGAGCTACATGATGTAGCGTGTATTAATGTATGATGGGCTTTTAAATTGTTTACAGTTTTTACTGTCGCGAGTGATACTTTGTATATGTCTGGGGAACTGTTATTTTTTAAGTGACTTTTATTATTAATAAATGTAAAAAGTGGATCTCACGTTCTTAATCTTTTGCTGAAGCTCTGGAAGAAAAAAACAGAGGTAATATCATGTATAAAAATATAATCGAGTACCTCTGGGAATGAATAAGCCCTTACCTTTTGAAGACCTCATGGTGTAGCTGGATTAGGATGATAAATTAATTATAAAAGTATGGAAATGCTATAAATGAATAAGCTAAATTCTAAGGAAATGCAATAGGAGCAGTTAATTTCTTGGGAGATGTTTACAAAGTATTATAAAGTGAGTGATGTTTGATCTGAGTCTAGACCCTGGAAAATCAGTAAGATTTCAGGAAGTGAGTGTTGGCAGACAGGAAGAAGGGATTCTGAGAGAAGCAGCATTATGCAAAGGCATCGAGAGATGAAAGAGCATTTTCTAGAAACTTAGGACAGATTGAACGGGCTTCAGCAGTATTGTGGCAGGACAGGAGACTAGCGAGATTCCAGGCTCACTGGTTACTACTTGCTGTGGGAATCATTGGAAAAATTAGGCAAGATTAAGACACAGACACATATGTTTCAGAAAGGGAACTCTGACAGTGTAGAGGGTCGTCTGGAGACCAGGGAGTTTCTCTACAAAGCTTGTGATCTTTTAGGTGAGAGATGATAACCTCATATTGTTCATGGTAGTGATAGCGAAAGGAGATGAAGTGGAGAGACATTTTTTTTAGGTTGCATTGCCAGGACTTACTGATGTGAGTGATGAGGGAAATGAATTCTAAGATGACTCCCATGATTTCTCACTTGGACAATTGGATGATATGGGAATTTGATACATTGCCCACCTTGTCAAATTAACTTGTGATAGAAGCCATCACTTTGTAAAGATGAAATATCTGCTTCAGTTTGCTTTGTGGAATAAGATAACTTATTTTATAATTTAAAGGTTACTTGAAGTGTTTTATTTCCAGTTCAGTAATGAAACACAGGTTCATACTGAGCCTAGGATCTGTCATTTTTAGACATGAACAATCAAACTACTATTAATTATCACTTCCTCATAGCCAAAGGAATGCAGTGGTGTAAAGATTCCAGTTGATGCCAGTAAACCTAATCCCAATGATGTGGAGTTTGATAATCTATATTTGGATATGAATGGAATCATCCATCCCTGTACTCATCCCGAAGACAAGTACGTAACCTATTTTTGTCACTGATACCACAAATCACAGAGGAAATACTACATTATATTACATTGTTTGCTTGTCATTATAGACCAGCACCAAAAAACGAAGATGAAATGATGGTTGCAATTTTTGAGTATATTGACAGACTTTTCAGTATTGTAAGACCGAGACGACTTCTCTACATGGCAATAGATGGAGTGGTAAGTGCTAAGATAGTTCATTTAGAAGCTTCCATTTTCGTTTTTGCTGTGTTCCCAGTGTCTGGTTGACAGTGGTGAATTTAAGAATGAAAACCTCATACTTCATTTATTCATTCAAATGTTATTTAGTGTCTGTTTGGTGCCGGGTACTGTGAAATGCTGGAGATATTGGTGACTGCCCTCGTTTTTGAAGGGCTTACCATCAAAGGGAGGGAGATATAGATAAATGTGTGAGTTACTTATAGGCTTTAGAGGCACTAGATAACACATGCAAAGTGTTGAGGGATGAAGTCAGCGCTACTGAGGGAGTTAGGAGATAGGAGGTGGCTTTTGTCATATGTCTTTAATGGTGAAGAATAGTTAGAGATTGATGGGTGGTGGTGGGGGATGCATGCCCTAAATTTATTTAGCCATATGCAAGTAGATTCTCTTTCTTTTAGGTTTAGTACATCCCAGTGGCTAATGGAATGATTTTGAAAATCCAGAAAACTTCAAACCTGAGATTAACTTTTCTGTGAGGTTCTTTTTACTCAATGAAAAATCTCGGCTACCTGATAACTTGTTAAGTTGCAGTTAGACTGGAATAAAGAATAAAGAGAACAGGAATATGTCTTGTTTAGAGCATATTCCAGTTTACATTCAGCTAAATTTTAATTTTATTCCGGTGTGCCCTTACTGCTAGATCAAATATGAAATATGTGCATGTTTGTATGTGTATGTATATGTGCATGTGTATACATACATTTTTATGTGTAAATGTAGATCATAGAACTTAGTGCTTGGGAGGGCTACATTAGATGGTCTCATTTTACAGAAAAGGGAACTGTTTAAAGAGAATATAAGGTAACTTATATTTAAATATACACAGGATATTCCAGAGTTCCTTCCAACCTCATAATTCGGTTTAGTAACTTCTAAAATCTTACAGTCCAGTTCAGTTTATTCAGGCTTATCAGTGTTTTAAATTGCATCTGGTTAGGATGAATTTAAAAGTACTTTTGGTTAAAACATTGCTCCTTTTGTAACTGCTGTGCCTTATGGAAAAGACAGTGATAATTATGAACCTTATCGTGGGAAATACAAAATAGAAGTGCATTGAGGTCCTGCAGGTCAAGAATAAATAGTTTTTCTGTTGCTTTCATGGGACATCATGAATCCCATTTGGAGACCATCCTTGCTTTTATGTATAGACATAAGGAAGGTCTTCCTAATCGTGGTTCTATGGTAACCACTCATGAAATGCTTACTGGATCTTTAAATAAAGTGAACATTTGTGGGGGCAGGAGGACTGTTTTGAAGCACCCTAAGCCAGGGGAACTGGCATTAGGCTGTGGGCCTTGCAGTATGAAGTGCTTTGTAGGATTTTTGTCCATTTCACATGTCACTCACTCACCTGATTGAACTTAGCTTTCAGATTCTTCGTCCATATTTAAGTTCTCAGGATCTATTGTCTGTCATGAAAGGATTATTAGGCATATTATTAATACTTAACTTTTCTTCCGTTTTAATTTACTACTTTTATAAGAATGGCTGATTCAGAATAACATACTGATGTATTTATGAATATTTTTATTATCATTATGTGAATATGAAATACATGTTTTCAGGCACCACGTGCTAAAATGAACCAGCAGCGTTCGAGGCGGTTCAGAGCATCAAAAGAAGGAATGGAGGCAGCAGTCGAGAAGCAGCGAGTTAGGGAAGAAATACTGGCAAAAGGTAAAGAGTATACAAAGTTGGACTTTTAACAGAATGTATTCAGCCAGGAAGGGATAACAACTTTTTCTTTTTTTTTTCTTTTTTTTTTCCGAGACAGAGTCTCACTCTGTCTCCTGGGCTAGAGTGCCGTGGCGTCAGCCTGGCTCACAGCAACCTCAAATTCCTGGGCTCAAGTGATCCTCCTGCCTCAGCCTCCTAAGTAGCTGGTACTACAGGCACACACTACCATGCCTGGCTAATTTTTTTCTATTTTTAGTAGAGACAGGGTCTTGCTCTTGTTTAGGCTGGTCTCGAACTCTGGACCTCAAGTGATCCTCCCACTGTGGTCTCCCAGAGTACTAGGATTACAGGTGTGAACTACAGTACCCGGCCACAACTTTTTCTTACAAATAGACGAAGTTTTAATTTAATGAGGATCCCAGAATATCCAAGGAAAATGTATGTTCACTGTTGAGGAAAAATAGTTCGTGGAATCCTTTACCCCCATTAATAAGCTTGTTTGTTTCCAGACTCTACAATAAAGGGGAAACTTGGGAATAAAAGGAGGGAATACTGATAGGGAGAGTGGATTGTCGACCCCTCTCAGGGCGAGTGCAGCTAGCTCTTCAGCTAACTTTTATGTAAAGTATTAACAGAAGTATGAGTGCTGCTTCTCTGTGGGGGCTGTCAGAAAGCTACAGTTCTGTAAACATTTACTTTAAATCAGTCTTAGTTTGCTTGCTTATTGCTTTCCTTGGAAAGTCAGAGATCTGTCTGGGGAGGCCAGAGGTGATTTAATACACATTTACAGGCTGTTTCCAAGACATTTACACATTTTGAATACAGGTTGATGGAGCAGCCACTGTGCTCAGGGTTCTTTTAATTTTCGGAGGTTAAGAGTGGGATGCAGTCATTTTGCAGTTGCCCAAAGCCTTGGAATTCCTAGTAGGTGCACAGGTAGGAGTTGACTGTGTCTCAGAGAGGAGAAAGGTTGGAGGATGCTGATGCTGACTAGGGTGGACTGGTTCTCTTACACCACATCTGTGTGTGAGGTAGGGTGTGGTTGTAGCAGGGTGATTTGTTTGGTGTTCTGCTGCATTAGACAATATAGTAGACCAGAAAAGCCACAATTTATTGACTCAAGATAATTGCACTTTGCAGTTGAAAAAAAGATGCCATAGTATGGTCAGCTGAGGCCTGTAATTACAATAAATATTAAGTTATTTTAATTTGCCAGAAGTGTGTAAGTAATAGCTACTTTAGCCATAGCTTGTAGTTAAGACACTAAAACCTGTTTGTATTTAGAATAGAATGTTTTGATTTTAAGGATTCTTCGTTTTTGAAGATACAAGAAAATATATTTTTTCTTGAGAAGCAGCTAATTTGTGATACAGAGGAAAATATAGGATTTTTATATTCCTCTACCTGATAATTTTATTTCTTACCCAATAAGGGTGTGATAAACTCAGCATTTTAATTTCATTTTTCTAAGGCACCTTTACCTTAAGAACTGTTATCAAAAATAAAACCCTTAATGTGTGTGTTTATTCTGTTGCAGAGGAAGAACTTCATAATTTTTATATTTTTATGTAACAGTGTAGTATCTTTTGTGTACCATATATTGTTTGACAGTCTTGTTAAAGCTTTATTTAAATTTGAAGGAGGAATCTTTATTTTCCAAAAGGGGGAACATTGTTCCTTGGGTGACAACACTTCTCTTTCTTTTGTATTTG